TCCGGAAGCTCCCACACGGTTGCTTCGTTCACGCTTCCGCTTTGAATTTACGCCTCACTGCATTGTGGGTCAGAGTTCACAGCCGGAGCCATTGGTTAGTCAAAGCCTGGTCCACAATCAAGCGGGGCGGTGTGTGAATACCACAATCTATTGGGGGTCGTGGACCTTTATGATGACCAGAAAGATGCGGACGGATGTTGTTCGTGCGCCTTTTCTTGGTTGGTTTGGAGTTATAATTTTTAGCCGTCTTTTCTAGGTGGACTGTCATTTGTTCGCCGGCCCAATTATAGCCCTGAAAGTCGGCTTTTCGTCCTCTTAATTTAGTAGGAAATTACCTCCGCCACCAGAGGGTAGTGAGTTGGACTTCTTCAATAGAAGCTATTTGAGATATCTTAAATCTTGAATATTCCACCATATTATATGTAAGAGGATGACTAGGAATATCCGAAAACAATTGTTCGCTCACCGACTCGTTTTCTCAATTCTATTTGAGACACTTGGCCGTATTGTAGCATTTCGCGAGGTGCAAGAGAAGGGTGTTCATCCGAAACCCTTGACGGCCACCCCGACCATACTGAGGCTTTCGGATGCGTCACCGATAGGTAATTGTTTTTCGTCATTTGAATCATATGCCCTTTTGACGGGATTTCCACGTTTTAGTATACCCGGCACAACTCTCTCTATTCGAACCACTCATATACTTCATCATAGTCGGCGATTCGGATTTTCCAACCTCCCCTCCCTCAGACGAACTAGTGGCTGATGCCTCACCAACCTACTTATGGCTCCGGGTATTGACTTTTTCGTTCTCTCATTTGTTCACAGGCTTTTTCACCATTTGTCCGGGGTTCATTCTCATTAAAACTCCAACTAGTGATGTTGTCGTATCGATTGGAGGCAAATTATTTGCGAACAAGCTTCCCGACTTGCCAAACAGTCAAGTCGGAAATGATGCGTTCCGTCTATGATGAAACAAGTAGACAGATCCTGTGTGCCAGACACAATTCCACGCATATTAGTCGACTCACTTCCCCCCTCCCTCTTTGTACTGTTATGAATAATGGTAAAATCCTTGTAAGCGTAACGTTCATTGTTCATCTTCCCCGTAAACGCAACCACCCACGACTGGGGAGACGGCAGGGAATTTTTGAATGCGTTTGGCTCACCTCTTGTTTGCATTCGAAGCGTGTCTTGTGCTATGCCGGTGTGCAGTTGCGTGTGAAATTAGTTTCTGGTTTGGTTTTTCCTCTCTTTTCTTCAATCCAATACAGGACTGATTAGAATTCGGCGGCGAGTGTCGATAATTCAGCTTTGCTATCGATTGACTTTCATCCACGTCATTCATAATTAACTCAATCTAACTTGTTTCAGCGCCAGCTAGCTATTCCACTTTGTTTGCAGCTTTCGGCGAGATGAGATACCAAAGGAACCGGTCTCCTCCACCACTGTCTGTCCGCCTGCTGCTGGGTGATGTATTCAATCCCCGCTTAACTAGAATAGGCTTGCTGTTCAGTGATTCAATACTGTCGTTTCTGGCCTAAGGACACTTTATTTGATCTATCCCAGTGTTTTCTCTGAAGCGAAACATTTCACCCGAATCACGATGATGCATGCCCTGGCAATCCACGTTTCCCATCGATCGTTTCTTCCGTTGAAGCTTGATTTGCGTTCGTTTTGGTAAAACCGCTCTGTCGGGAGGGGGGCAACCTGTGTCTCACGAAGCTGAATGCTTCTCTGTTGCTCAGCTTATCCTGGTTGTTCTTCTCCGTTCTCACGACTTGGGTTTTCACGTCGTATGTAATGGTCGGTCTTTTTTAAAATTATGATTTACCTCTATCCATTATAGAAAAAGTCCGATTCCCGGTGGGCACTGCAGTTTCGTTCTGACGGTTGTCAGAACCTGTTTGCCCCTTTTCTTGCAGCTCGGTGCAACGCATCCGGATGGCTACATTTTGCACTGTTAGCAATCCACGACCTTCTATTTTCGCTTTCCGTTGATCGAAAACAGTAAAGGGACCGAGAACCCAAATGTGTACTGAAATCGGTTCCAGTTAACCAGTCGGTAAAGCCGTAACGGGCATCCAACCACCAGGTTTAACCAATGAATTTTCAGTGTGAAATAAGTTACTACGAATCATGCGCACCACGGAATCCCAGACCCGCCTGATAACCAATTATACTCTATTATATTGTTTTCAGGCAATACTGCCGACCAGGCGAAAACAGCCATTGTGACTGGTGTTCATTGGGTCTTTAGGTCCGAAGTTCGAACTTGGGCCTAATTCCGATGGTCACCAACTCCTCTGTCGCTTGACATTATCAGGGCTTGATGTAGTTCGCCACTCCAAGTTCCGAATTGTCGGTACTCTTAAGTGGGAACCCATGACAATTGACTTGCTCTTTTTGCGTAACAAAGCGCTGCTTCGATCAATCGTTCTCTTGTTATTTCAGTTGTCGATTTATCTTTGCCTATTCGTATTTCCCCCGTTCTTNTGTAATCTCTCCGAACAGAATTCACAATAAAGGTGTCTATTTCAAAATCGGTTTGCGTAAAATGATCAATCGAACCGCGTGCAAAGATTTACATAAACAAATTGTTGTGGTCGCGGACGGAAATATTGTCATGTTGCCCCCAATCGAAGGCCTCATTGTATTGAACATTCTCTCCTGGGGCGGTGGAGCCAATCCATGGGGTGTGGAAAAGGATGATGTGTTCGCGAAACCGACACACTACGACGGTCTGTTGGAAGTGGTCGGTATATCCGGTGTCGTGCATATGGGTCAAATCTACTCGGGTCTGGGCACCGGAATCCGTCTGGCTCAGGCGGGTCACGTAAGTTCACAAGTCACACACGTGTTCCTAAAGCATACGATCACACACACACACACACACACTATCCTGGAACCAAGTCATTTCTTGTGCCCCACATCACATCTGTGTAATTAAGCGAATTGGTTGCATCTTTGAACCCAACATTTATCAGGGTTCATCACCTAGTCAACATTTTGTCTGTAGATAGCTCAACACAAGTGTCGTTCAGAGCTGATAGCGTTGTAAATCCGGGATCTCCGGAACCCGGACCCCAGTTTAGCGTGTCAAGTTAGTTCGCACGTTTCTCTCTCTTATTCCCGGTTTGGGTTTCAACAGACTCCGTAACCGGATGGTTGGAGACACTACAGTGGCAATTTTGGTAATACCTCTTATCAGACCCGAATACTTATAGTTGTATAGGTGCTCAGTGGATCATAGAGGTTCACTTTCTTTTCCCGTCCCTAAAAACAGCCCAATCCCTATCCTCCTTACACACTCTCACTTACCTTGTATGCATTAAGAGGTTGGCATCGATCAGTGAAGCTCGCTTCACTGTATTACGCTGTTCAATGATTATGATGAACGGATTTCCTTAGTCATACGTGGATGTTTGAGAAGTGATGGTCAGAATTTGTGCAGTTCCCTATTATTAAGGCTTATAGTTCTAATTGAGGTTAGTGTCCAGATGCAAGAACGATACGATAATGGTTCATCCACGTCGTTATATTTTCACTGACACACATTGGCAGCGGGTGAGTGGGGTGAAAGTCGATCAATTCTCTCCTGGGAAGCAGTTGAATTTCTTCAGCAATAACCTATGATTGCACGCGTGGTCGATCAAACCGAATTGTATATTTCACCGCTCAGGTAAAATCCACGAACATGTTAGTCGAGACACAACTGCCCCAGTTTTCCTTTCCTTCTGTCTTCCTCGACTTGTGGTGTTCCATACTTTATTCGTTTTCGCTCCACGGGCTCACTGAAATACAACTCCCATCTTTTTGATAATTAATAAAATGTGTAAGAGGAAGTTCAGTACCGAAAATGCGATCTCTATTACCATCCGGAATTTAATGAATTTGTGAGTACAATTACAGTTTTTGCAAATGCCAATTGTGGAGACGATGGCCAATCACTGAGATTCCAGTACACATCTTTCCGCCTCCAGATTGGTTTTTGATCCTATTCAATTTTAGTCAAATTGGATCTGCCTGTCCTTCGGTTTACCGAGATGTGACTGATACAACACCAAAGTACATTGTTTGGCGTTGCAGGTAAGTCATTAGTGTCGGACGAGGATAAAAGTTAGGGACACGTCTTTTTTTCTTCTGTACTTGTTTTCGAATATGAATCCTTGTTTCCGGCTTCCAGCTTTCTAAGCATGGTGATAAACTTCTTGAACTTATTTATAATAAAGCAGTTTGTATACTTGTAAATAAGGTTATCCCGTTTCATTGAAACGTGATCGCAGACTCTCGAAGGTGATATCCAAGGAAGTAGGAAGTTTTTGTTTGATATATTTCAGAGTTTAAGTTTACGCATCTTTTCTCATCTTTTTTCCCACCTAATCATTCTCCCTTTACTTTCATTTTTGACAGTTGAAAATTCTGCTCAAAACAGAGCTTCCCATCCAAATTGACGGTGAACCGTTCATTCATCCGGCTGGTCAAATTGTGGTACTTCGTTCTGCGTTGCGGGTAAGTATTAAATTGTCTAATCGTGTCGTGTCATGTCGTGTCTGTGATCAAACTGTGCAATGCACTATAGCTGTTTTACCTCAGGCTCGCTGGTTCGGAGTTTCGAACCCTACCACTATCGCCCAACTTGCATGATAATTAATCGCACGATTGTCCAGTCCGAGTGTCAACTGCGACCTGTTCGGGTGGTGCCGCTATATAATGCAGTGACATGGAAGTCATGCGCAAAGGGTAAACATACTGTTGGTGTTCGCCCGTTGTCGTTTCATGAGTCTGATGGGATAACTGGATAAGCAACATTGAGGTGAGGCGAAGAGATCTAGGTAATCACGTTCTGTATTGTCTGGAACATGTCGCCAGACAAGCTTTCTCTGAGAATCATGTTTGCCGAGCTAGGTGGTAGTTGGAAGAAGAAGAATGAAATTGGTAAAACTTGGCATGAGGACACGCAATCCCTGACCCCCACCGGGCTCAGCCACATAGTTCGCATTTGGTTTCCAAGTGGGGGACACCGTGATCAACCCGTTCAGTGGAGTCACAGACTTCGAGTAATGTAGGTGAATTTCGTAACCAGTGACGCTCATGCATATACTCCTTTCCTACACAGTTCTAGATCAATTTGCTTTCTGCATCCCTGTTTTGATGGAGCACTTCATTTTAAACTCATTGGTCACCCAAATAGACAGAGGTAACACAGTATCGAAAACTATCCGGTTCGGTCTCTCGCATCCTATGCAGGTTGTGTATAGTTCGTCACCCCATTGGCTTGCATGGTTGGAGGTTTATGATTGCATCTTGAATACCACGCGAAACTTGCCCTCCCCCACCGCGGCTACCAACAAGTCGGAATACTGGAACCGTGTGTGTGTCCAAGCGGACTCAGTGATGATTGGCACACTTTAGTTGGTTGCCTGTTTGTCCCCAGTTCAGCTTTCCTGGTGTATCACAGATCGGTGGCGGTGGAGGTTCACTTGAGACACTAGATGCACGTTCCCTCCCGGAGCTTACTCTCGTTTCTCTTAGGCACGATTTGCACCGTGTAGATTGAAATGGATTACAACTGGGATTGTCTCTTAACTGTCTGGATCACGACGTCACCAGGCAGACTAGACACACCTCATCTTCCCTGTGCCCGAGTCCTGGAAACGCTAATAAAATCACAACTGTGTTGTATGGCAGGACACAGAAATACGCACACAATTCGCTAAATACCACCAATCAATCTTACTGTATTTTGATAGATGAGCTCTCTCTCTCTGAGTATCAATAATGTGTACGTGTGTGTCGTAAAATCGGAGTTGCATGCTTCAGTGAACCAATTATTACTATCCAACTACTACTACTACTATTGCTACTTCCGGTTTGTCCAACGGCAATGACAGTTAGCAATTGTGTGCTGATTTAAAACCCAGTTTTGATGTTCACTCTCTACTGGACAGATAGTGGGGGAGGTGGAACGTGTTTGTTCGTCCAGTGCACAACTCTGCATCGATCGCTTTCAATCCCCCTTGACTTGGGAAAATCTCTAGTGCGCGTCACGAATCAGACAGTGTTGGCTAAGCTCTGCCAAATCACCCATCACTTGTGTCGTAATCACTAAGTTCTCCAGTTCAGACCGAATCACTATCCCATCCAACTTTGTTCAATACAACTCCACCCAAGTCATACTATGCCATGCTTTGCTAGGATCTTATGCAGTTCACTGATCAGGTTTTTTCAGTTATCTGTTATGAGAACTTTGCACAAATTAAACCCTGTGGTCTGAGGTTCGAGCCCCGCCACCCAACTTTGGTGGTAGGCAGCTTTGCTGTCGTCTGAATCAATACCACCCCTAACCTAGTGGGGCCTTGTGTGATTCGCCACTCCAAGTCCCGCGGGCTTAGATCACCGGTCTCTATCACTTAACAGCAAGCAGGTCTTCGTGACTATGGGGTTCAACCGTGTTGAATTTATTCCGTTCCGTAATCGACAGCACTTCGAATGCATGTTTTGTGTTCTTTCAAGGTAATTGTAATAAGTGAACTGAGCGCGACTGTAGCTTACGCCGGTCTTAACCACAGGCTCACGCGGTTATCAGTTGTCATGTCCAAATACAAACTCGAGCGGTTTACCATGTCCGTTTTAAAACGGAGTTGGATATGTGAAGCCATGGAGAGTGCTACGCTTTGGTCGTGGTAAAAATTCGGTTTATTCGACACACTTTCTTTGAAAAGAAATATAATTTGAGGAAATTTCGTGCTTCGGTTTTTTATTTAGCTTTCGCTCAGATTCTCAAAAATGGTGATGGTGCATATGGAAGCGAAGATAATTCAAAAATCCAGAGGGTGCAATACTTTTGTCGCGGGGTTGGTATCTATTCATCATCTAGGTTTTCGTGCTTTTACGGCGAGGTAGTATCGGTTTACGATTTGGCGTATGAATATGAAAACTTAAGCATCGGCATCCGCTTCGGTCGGTACTTATCGTCTTCCTTATCAAGATGCATATAGCTGGAATTGCCTTCGATTCGAGACGCTGAGAGATACTTCTCAGAGAGAGCACTGGCGGCCGAGTCCTAAAGGTCCCGAAATTATCACCCCGGAAGGCGCGTGT